TTTTAAGTATAAAATATAAAAATAAAACTAAGTAAGTTTTCTTCTTTAACTCATTGCTCGTGGTCAAAATTGGTGGTAAATATTTTTGGTTTTTTAAAATAACTTTTGAATTTGGATGTTAATAAATGACACTTTTTTGGTTTTCGGTGTTAATAAATAATGTGTTTTAAACTAATAAAACTTGACAAATTATCTTGCAAACAAGATTGTATTAGCACGTTCTAAATAAAAATTCTAACAACGTTTTAATTAAAATTATTTTGGAACGTCTTTGATATTTCAAAACTGATATGTGGTTTCTTTTTTATTTAAAGTAAATGTTTGTATATTTAAATTTAACAAATTTTTGTGCATTAAAAAGCATCCATAACGCTGACCATGTATATCCGAGCCTCAGTAAAATTGTAATGGAAAAGCATCAAGTTAGGTTCGGGCAACATGGTAACGTTTACTATTTTTGTCCAAATTTTTGTATTATGACCACGAGTAAAATTTTAATCTAATAATTAATAAAATTTATTAAAATTACTAATTTTTTAGTCGGTGGAATGTTTCAGAAGTGTTTTCAGGAGATCTAAAATATATTACTTATTATCTTATAAGCTAAACGTTACCTATCTACACTACTATTGGCTACTGTCTTATTATAAAATATAGAAAATAGTTTATGTTAACACGATCATTCTTGCAATTTTTTAATCCTGATAAATGAAACGTTTTTTAAACCCTTTTCACTCGTGAATTACGAGATTTATATGGTGTGCATCCGGGTGGTAAAAAATAATAAAGACCTGACAAAATTTCCTAGGGTTTACATATAATAAATCAATTCTTTGCATTGTATTTTAATTATTCTGATGATGGTGTTAAAGATATATTCGAAACGTGTCAGGAATTAAATTATTTTGGTTCAATTTTAAAATATTTAAGTATTTTTTTATTTTATGGTGGCATCCGGGTGGTTAAAGTAAAAAAATAATAAATTAGAGACCTGACAGAATTTCTTAGGGTTTCATATACTAAATAAATTCTTTGCATTGTATTTTAATTATCCTGATGATGGTCTTTTGAGATATTTTTGAAACGTGTCAGGAATTAATAGTTTTGGATAAATCTTAAGCATTGTTTTATTTATCCTGAAATGTTTTTTTGCAAAAACGATCGTTTAACAAGAACTATCTTCAACTTCAGATCGTTTGCACGTTTTTATTACATCTAACTGTTGTTTTTTCTGGACGGTTCTAATATTTTTTATTTAAATCTACACTTGTCGGATAAGCTGCTCGCTTATCTTATCATAAGATGAGATAATAAAGTATGGTTGATACACATTCATCCAAGTTGATAAATCAGAACATCGAGTAGTACTGAGATAAGGGTTATTGTCAATCTTATCAACTTAAGGTAGGTTAGTAATAAGATAAAAGGTAAAAATAAAATCTTCAATATAATTACTTACACTTTGAAAAACTTGAAAAAAAAACTTTTCTTAAGATAAGCTAGTGATAAGATAAGAGAATAATAATATTGATTTACTTCATATCATTTTCAAGATGAGTGTAAGATAAGATAATATAAAATTGTACTATCAATGTCGTTTATATTATGATGCTTCAATCAAGTATTTACAAAAGCAAAGAAACTATCTCATTTCAAATATTTAGTTAAAACAGTGAGAGTGAAATTAGAGAAAAATTATCTTAAGATAAGCGCATGATAAGATAAGATATTACGTGATTCATCTATGTAATGACGTTGTATACTTTGATTGACAATAAATATACGCGTGCAAAAAAAAATATATGAAAAAACATGTGTACTGACGTTTATTTTATCTACGATACGAAGAAAACATACCATCTTATAATAAGCGCTGTGACATCCATGTAGAATCTACGTGGATTTCAGATTGCAACCGCCGCTGGGTGCTTACTGGGAGTATTAAAATAAGAGCAAGATTAGGATCAACGAAACTTTAACTTATGACAAGCGTGTACGACTAAATTTGTTTTACTTGTCATGTTTTGTCTAAAATTTCATATTTCTTATTTCGATTAAGATAAGAGAGCAAGCTTATCCTCTTACACTAAGCTTTATCAATATAATATATACGCACGTTTGCTCTCAACAAAAAATTCCAAATTCTAAAATCTTATAATTTTTTGGACGTTTTCGGGGCACACGTTATTTTTTCGAACTAAAAATAAAAATTCTTAACTACGAAGCCTTAACATTAATTTTCTGTTGACTAGACAAAATTCCTAGCTGACTACGTTCCGACGACATTCATCAGTGAAAAAATATGTGTAGCGTTTGTTTTTTAGTTTTGGCGAAGCAAACACAATTTTTTTATTACACTAAATGAAGTCTTAATGCTAAAATACTGTTTAATACTATCTTACGGTGTAGGTTATGGTTTAGACCTATATTTATATTTTTTGGTGTATAATATTTATCTTATCTAAATATATATCTTATTTTAAATAGTTAATACTTATCATTTTAATAATATAACGATTTTTTTTTAATAAGTCGTAGTCATTTGTTATATCGCTAAAAAAAATTATCGTAACGCTTACCATGTGTAACGAACTTAAGCTAGTTTGTATGAAAACTTGTGGTGCTAAGTTTGGACA